ATTCAAGTTTTGTGCAAAAACGCATGATCGCTCCGGCTCGCCTGGTGCGTTCCAGCCTACGTTCGTAATACACGACCCCCTTGCACATCCGGCAAATACATAACAAAATTTTTTTTAGGACTGAGACCAGCTTAGCCTGAAATCGGTGGAACAGGTGAAGCAGAATTTAACACGTCAGTCCTTTGTTGTTGATTCCGACACCGATTCTCCAATTTCAGCGAACTTAATGGTTTTGCCTGGTACAGTATCAAGTCAAAAGTCAGAACCATTTCAGTAAATCACCCTCTATGCAAAGCACGAGTACTCAGGCTTAACCCGCGCTATCAAGATTGCACTTCTTACCAAAATTCCTCCATCTTTTTAAGACAGTGCTGCTCACGCCAAATTTTTTTTCGATGCTGCTGTATGAATCGCCGGCTGCTCTGCAATCAAGCGCTTGACGCATGTTTTTTGCTGTCCAGTCAGTCCAGCAGCAGCTTCCCGCTTTGAATTTTGGGAATTGCTTATCCATCATCTTTACCGCTTCTTTGTAACGACCATCTAAATACATTTTCAACGTACTTACTACATATATTATAGTATGCACTGAGTTAAATGCTGTGACTACCGTAAGTGCGAGTTTGCTACAGTAAAACTATAATGACTATAGTACGCTACGATAGTTGCAGTGCACTAGTGATGCTCGTAGTGATGAATTAAGAGTTTCTTTTTCTTTTTTTTTTTTTGAGAATTAGCTTCACATGTGGCCAGTTTTGCTTTTTTACCTGGCTATATTTTTTCAGACTTTGTTATTATACCATTCAAAAGTCAACTGCAAAGTGCCACTGAGGCATTCACTCGCCGAGAAGCGGGTGCATTTGGAAGCAGCTTGGTTGGCAGCACGTGCCAATACCAATAACAAACTAGCATCGCCTTTTACAGCCTCCTTTTCCAAGGATTACTCAGAAGTAAGCTAATTATTAAAGATTGCTCAATTAAGCTAATTAAATGATATTTGCAGTTATGCACAAATTAGAATTAATTTTTGGGTGGCAAAATGCACTGCTGTAGTAATTTTAAAAGCATTCTTATGAAGCGACGGGAAAGGAAAAAGGAAGAGGGCTGGGGCTTTAAGCTAAGCATTAGGAAGAATAGATTTGCTGCAGCGTTTCCTATCTACATTTTGTTGCCCATCTATCTGAATTTTAAATTTTTTATGAATTTTAGCGTATCTTGACAACTTTTAGTTCTCGTCCATCAAAACCCGTGCCTAACTGCGGTCAAAAACCAAATTCAGTAAACTGTCTGTAGCCGCCTATGTGTAAGTTTCTTTTTTTAATCGAAGGTCATCGCCCCAAAAAATTACCATAGTCCCACTGAGTCTCCAGGTATCGCATAAGTAAAAATTTTGAGGTTTGATACTCCTCGTTGATGCGCTCTTTCGTTACCAGTCAGCTGTACGCGAATCAATTCAGGGCATTTAAAAATTTCAACTTTTGTCAACTGCTATAAAATGAAAGATCCGAAAATCTAGGAATTAAGAATCGTTTGCCGTATATCGGAATGCGAGGCAGAAAGGTGGCTGAGCCCCTGCGGCTTGTTGATCGTCTTCGCATTTTCCCTGCCGACTGCGACGATGGCTTCTCCTGAATAAACCTGCTATCATAAAAAGTGTCTCAGTTTTTTGAGGCTTAATTTTGTCAAAATTAAATCCATTCCTCTCAGAGGTTGTAAAAAACATGAAAACATATGCGTCATGTGGCAACTGTGAAGCTATGGTACCTGTGAAGTTAGAGACTGTGCTACCGCATCCTCTGGCATCTCAAATCTCGGATTTGTGAGTGTTGCAGTCCAGTCCACCGGCTGAAGTCCTTGCGAATCCTGAACAGAGGTATCAATGATGGCTCAACCCGGCTAAGAATAGCTGGCTGTAGCGTAGTTGAATCATTTTGTATGTTTTGGAATTGTAACTGAATATGTGAGAATGTGAATAAAAAAAGCAGATGACTTTTTTGTCAGCATTATGATTACTTGAGTAATCGCGACCAGGAAAGCGTAGGCTGCGATCATGCGTTTTGGCACTTTTCGTGCCGTAGCAAGATCGCAAGGAATCACAGTAGCTAACTCTGTAACATACTGGCCCTCTAAGTTCGGGAAGTTAATTGTGCAGCTATGTGGCATGTCAATTGCAGATGTCGACTTCAGTGACTCGACAAACAGAAAGTTCTTGGTCCGCGAAAAAGGGCCTACTAGAAGAGCTAAATTTGAAATCTTTTAATCGCACATGAGCAGGGAACATTACCCTAAAATTAAAGCCTTCCAGCATTTCTCTTTCTCGAGTTGGCAATTCATCCGTAAAAATTTTCACGCATCCGCACGTGAGTCCCGGGTGGCTCTAAGGAACTGAATTTGAAATCTTTTGGTCGTACATGAATCGGGAGCAGTCCATTGCAGTTTCAGCTTTTTAGCTTCCCTCGTTCTCAGGTTAGTGATTTTTCCGCCAAAATCTCCACGCGTCCGTACGTCTGTCTTAGGCGCCTCTAAACAGCTGGTTTTGGTCGTACATGAGTAGGGTACATTCCCCTAAAGTTTCAGCTTTCTAGCTCTCGTTCCCGGTTTAGTGATTTTTCCGCCAAAATTTTCACGTGTCCGTAGGTAGGT